AGAATTGCTATTTGAATGACCTACTGCCATGAAGCTAGTTAAATCACTGAACAATAGTTACTGTTATGAGGCTTTACTTTGTACAAAGTAGCATTAGTATCATTGCTTTCCATTATTCATGGAACTTGCACTGGGGACTTCCACTGTGAGAGAGATTGAAAGAGAAAGAGACAGAAAGAGAGAAACTATGAAAATGATATTTTTATATTATTAGCATTTAGACTTAGAGACATTTACCAATGTAATTGATCTCAACTTATCTGCATACATGCTGTACTTTTTCCCCCTTGTTTTTTCTAAAGTGTTTTAAAAGTGCCCCTATTAAGAATCAATACGTCTTTGCTATGCAACTCACACATAAATACACACTAAAAGGCAATCAGAAAGTAACAATAAAAATATACCCGGTAAAAAACTAACTTTTAATTCAAAGGGTGCTACGTAATAAAGGACCTAGAATGAACATCCCAATTAGCCAGTGTAGTGACAAGCAGTCAACACCTTATTATTTAATCATTAAAGAGAATCTTGCCATAATTTCTCTTTGACATATATTTTTAAAAGGAATTAAGTCCACATCACATGACCCACAACGCAATCAAATGTAAAGTTAGGTGATGCTAAGACTATCATTTCCAAGTCCTGTGGACTGAGAGGTTTCGAGATTAAGGCACCAAGTGGGAACCTACGAAACATTTACAATTTAAATAAGATGTATCCAAATGGAAGCATTTACAAACAAACTACCTGACAAAGGGGGCATTTTTTTCTGGCTCCCGCTGTTTGTGCCCAGTTTTCTCATTGGATGACAATGAATTGCGGACATTTCTAGTATTAGTAAACATTCGCTGGCCCCATTTATTTGCTTCTAAAGCAGCAGATCCAATCAATGGAGGACATGAGGTTGTTTCTTGCCCTCCCAGCCCTTTCCCTGACTGTGACACCTCCTCTAAAGGGAAAGCTTAAATTTCCCTTGCAAGAATCTCCCCCGCTTTTTCGGAGGGGGGCGTTTTCTGTCAAGTTCTACTTCAGTTTTAAGAATTTTAACCCAAACTCTGCTTCAGAAACAACACTGTGAACTTTTGAAATAAAACAATCGCCATCAGAGTTCCCAGGCCCACTTGGTAACCAAAGCGCACTGGGCCCGGCCTGCCCCAGATCCCAGAGGCCTGGAGGCCCCACGCTCTCCAGTCTGGGCCGCACAGCCCCGGCGACCGTCCCCCGGGAGCCCGCCAGCACTTGGCATTTAACCTGCCTGGCGAGCGTGGCTCTCTGGTTCCATCTCTGAAAGCCATATTACTTTTCCCCAGACGTCAGAGGCAAATTTGGATTAACATGCAACAGGGCGCCCTGTGCAACCCGACAGCCTTCGCCCAGGAGCTGCTAAATGCAGATTCAGACGAGGACCCCCCAGAGAGCTGCTGTTGAATAAAAACTGTAATCCAAAGGGACCATTTCTTTGCCTCCCGCTGCTTGTGGGAAGAGCCAGGGCCACCGCTGAGGCCAGAGCACAGACCTAGCTAATCTCGGCTGGCTACCGGCAGGCGTGGCCACCCCAGGAGGCGGCCCTAGGGGCTTAGAGACTCTGCTCCGCTCTCCCCTCTCTCTCAAAGCGTTCTTGGAGTGGAAAATGCTTAGATTCAAGGAGTGGCGAGCAACAGAAGCGGCCTAGGAAGGAAGCCGACTGCTTCTTCCTGGAGCGCGGCCTAAAGTCTAGCAACTGGGTGGCCAGGTCTCTCCCCGCCTAACCTCTCTTGGCGCCCCCAAATCCACCAAGGGCTCCTAGAACACGCGCCCCGCCTCCAGTCGAACACGCATCGTTCTCCCAAGCCAAGCAGGCTCAATCCTAGCCTCAATGCCTAGGACCGTGGCCCCCCTTCCCTCTGCTCCGGGTCGCAGCTGGGAATTCGCCCCACGCCGAGGCCGGGAATCCACTGGTGCCCCTCGCTTCCCCCAGCCTCCCGGAATCCGAAATGTCCAAGCCGAGGCAAGAGCTCGGTGGTCAGGAGAGGGCGCCCAGGAGGCTTGAGCCCGCCAAAGTGGCTCTCTCCGGCTGGGACCTCCAGGCGGCCCCTAGGACTGGGGGTGGGGGAAGGAACCTGAGTATAGTGAAGAACGGGATTACAGCTTCTACTGGTGTCTTGATAATGATTTAAAAATAAATAAATAAGAGCGAGAGAAGAAAAGGAGAGAGAAAGGAAGGAAGAAGGAAGAAAAAAGAAAAGGAAAGAAAGAAAGAGAGAGGCAGAGAGAAAGAGGAAAGGAAAGAACTAAACTAACACTACAAGGCCAAGTGGATTTCCACCGACTTAGCCCTCCGGGATACTGCCTAGTATCAAATTTGTCGATCCCAGGTCCCCGCGCGGGTGACAGTCTTCGCACCCTCCAAGGAAAAAAAGTAAAATAAAATAAACCGTGCTGCCAGCGGGCCCTAGAGACAGAGGGGTTAATGAGCTAACAAGGCCCAGCGCTCTCACAGCACGAGAAGCGTCCAGTCCCGGAGTGCACCCTTTGCGGAGGTTCAAACTGGCTGGGCCGCATTCGCAGAGGTGGAGAGGCCATCCTTCCCACCCGGCTCCCAGGACGCTACAGTAGGGGTTCAGCGGCCCGGAGGGACAGGCCAGCAGGCTCCAGTCTGGAGAACTGATGCCCACCAGGCTCCCTGGTGCTTCATTCATTGCGCTTAACCTCCCCAGGGCAGGGGAGCCCACCGGAGTGCGAGGCACTGTACTGCAGGCGCCCAGCGATTTGCTCTCCCCTCTTCAAACCCCACTTTGGGTTTGCTGTCCTCTGACCAGCTGAGACCTGGGTGAGCCTCAGGGGGTCACATGGGGGAGCCCACGAGCATAAGCCAACAGCTCCACGAGCTCAGCCAAAGCTTCGAAGCCCGCTCTTAACCCACGGGATCAGAAGTAGGATTCTAATTTTAGAGGTAGAAGAGAATAAAATGTGAAGTTTTACCCAATACAATTGCATACCAATCTTTGCATATCTGAAGGGAATTGGATAACATAAGTTTAGGGAATGAGAAGGGGGTAACTCTATAACATTACATTAATTTTTGTATCCCCTCTCCCTAGTCCAAAAAATTCCCATAACTTTGATCTTTTATCTTTGACTTTAATAAAATAATGATTCCTTCAGAAAATGGGGTATAAATCTTCATTTTGGAGGCAATTAAAGTGTTGATTTCATTCATGCCCCTAAGCGATTCTTGTAATTTGCTCAAATAGCTTTATGTACCCAGCACTCCGGAGCTTTTAGAATCCCATTTTCTAGTTAGGCTAGTTGGATTGCAATTTTTATTCCACAACAGCTACTCGAGGGTTCCTCAGCAGAATCTGCACTCAACAGCTCCTAGGAGAGGACTGGCGGGCTGAACCAGACTCGAGGCCAGGCAGCCCGTGGGAGCCAGGACTGAGAGCTGCCTGCAGTTTTCCCACCTCTGCCGGGCCGCACCGGGATTGCGCACGCTGCGTGTTCTGTGCACTCGTCTACACTGCCGAAAGTTCCAACTCTCCAGATCACAGTACGGACCCGGCGCAGTGGCACTTTTAAATCTCTGCTCTGCCTGTTCCTCGCTTCCCATGGGCAAAAGAGGAATTCAGCCTGTGTCGCGGGGGTTGCCCAGAGAAAATCAAACTGAGAATGTATTTTAAGAGGATGATGTTGAGAAGAAAACCATAAGATGACACCAAGAACCAGGTGTCAGGCACTCCGGCAAGGACTGTACAAGACAGCCCCTGGCCAACAGAGATCATGGCAGAGCTTGCAGAGTAGCTGGTCTTTGGCTTAACAAAGGCAGGCTGATCTCTTCCCCCAAGTCTGGACACTCGTGCCAAGTCAGAAAGAGACACAACTCTGGGCCTTCACTTATATATGAGGGAAGGATGGGAGGGTGCAGAGCAGGCCGGCTACTCAAATCTCTAGACGCCTTGCAACAATTCGCAACAGAACTGTCCTGAGCCCTGCTTCATCTCACTCACTCCACACGTTTTCACTTTCATTGCATTTTTGCAACTCCTTTGGACCAATCCAGAAATACAGCCACAGGAGCGGGGGGCACACTGGGAGCAAATGGTGGTGTTGGGGTGATCCCCACAGCAACTCCAAATAAAAGTCATCCCCACTTAGAAACGCATCGGAAGAAGGGCCTGGAGAGAGGACAGGAGAGGAGGGGGCGCAGCAAGCCAAGGACTTCAGTGGAGGGCATTGGCGATGCGAGGTCCCCCACCCTCCTCACCCAGGGAGCCGTCGGGTGCCCCTTATGCTGACATGTCCACAAGCTGCCAACCCAGAGGGCCCAGAGCACATACCAGCTGGAGGATGAGTGGAAAGAAGGAGGAGAAAAGTCCATATTTATCTGTTTTTATAACCTCGGCCTGGTCTTATTTTTTCTATTAAGTACAATAAAATGGGCGAGCTTGCAGTGAACACCACACAAAGCAATGTTCAGTGAGGTCTAGAAGCGTTCGGCCGAGGAAAACTGACAAGACAGGCTAATGAACCGTATAGACAGGGAGAAAATAGCCAGCATTTGCTAGATTTCAAATCCTCACTGTCTCCCTTAGACCACCTATCTTGGATTTATTCCTAATAAAATAAGAAATAAGCAGACCCTACACTTTTCTTTTCTTGAAGATAGAAGGGGGGAAAATGCTCCGGAACAAAGCCTCTACAATCAGAGGCGGTCACTGGCAGTTAACACTCCCATTATTACAGAGGGTAAATAAAATAAAGACAAAAATTAAAAGCGACAAGAAACAGGTCAAGTTTGCTAGCAAAGCTTTTACAAGCTCATCTCTCCAGGTCGAATCCCAGAGCCAGCCTTAATGAAGCAATAATAGCCACATTATTCAAAAATTTTCATTTCGATGGAAATGTATCTAAAAGGGACTTAATCATATGCAAATAATAAAAGGAGGTGGTAGTGACCCAGCGAGCAATATGCATAGAGATTTTTTTTTTTCCCAGGGATGTTGAAATTGAAAAGCGCATACCTGGTCGGTTAGATTTGCTGATCTTGTTATATCTTCACTGTCTGATTTTGATCCTCCTTCTCTATCGTCTATCACCAAATCGATAGGCATTTTCCCTTTCAAACAGCTAATATACCGGTGGCAGAAATTGTCACATAATTCGTGTACCTACATTATGACAGAAATAAAAAAATGGGAATATAATCAGGAATGCATAAATGACATTGACAAGTGCAATCCACCCCCCTTGTGAGATCCAAACTTCCAAATAGGGGAAACACAGGGCAATTGTCCTCCAGAGACCCCCAGACGCATCCAGAATTAGGAATAACTTTCTTTTCTTGGAAAATAGAGATATCCCAGAAAATTGACAGTGACAAGATGATTCACAGGCTACAACATATTCAACACCCGTGTTAAATTCATCTGCTCCTGGGCTGTGGTCATTAGAGAGGTGACCTGTGTAGGTGACATTTAAGGTAAACTATTTAATTTCATCCAGTGACTTTATCATAAATCCCTTTCCAATGTGTATGTCTGTATATATATATACAGACATGCACATGTATATTTTCCAAAGGACCTGTACTGTGGTGGCATAGGTTATGTGTCTGACAACCAAAGTCCTTACTATATTTGTAATTAAGGTTTTTATCTCTAAAGATCATATTTTAGAATATTTTCTTTAAAAAAATAGAAGGAAACCAAGTTGCCAGCACTCATGATATGAGAAAACATACAGCCACAAACCATGTCAAATTATTATCATTATTACAAAAAGACGAATGAATGCCTCAAAATATTTAGGTGTAAGTGCCCAGGTTTCCTGCAGGGCCCAGGCATCACTGACATGCAAAAATTCACAAGAAACCCCAGTGTACTTGCAATTTAATGTTAGTTCGAATTACAATGCATTAAGTTTTTATTGCTGAGATTTATAGAACAGCTAGCAAAATCATGTTATCCCACACCCTTTCTTGAGTGTGAAGGTGGGATGTGTGCAGGATTCACAGAGTCAAGAAATTGACACAACTATCAACTCTGCTTTGTCTCTGCAAAATGTTTAATGTGTCTCCCCACCACCCTCCTCCAGACTCCTTCCCGCTCCTCCTCCTCCCCTTCTGCCTCTCCCATGTGTCTGATCTGCCGCTGCTCTCACGGCTGTCTTCCAGAAACTCACTACAACTGAACAAAACTTTTTTCTTTCTCAGAGGCAGCAAAGAAGAGGAGGAAGAGGATAATGCCACAGAGGTATTAACCTGGGAAGCAACCTCACAGCAGCATTCTAAACATCAGCTGGAATGTACAGAATTGCAACTATTTACACAAAGCCAGCAAATTATTAAGAATGAATACAAGGATAGGGCGTTTGTGATCCCAGTTCTAGTGGCTGAAATTGTAATTAAACTGCGAAGAGAAATGGACGATAAGATTGGCCTTGACACTAATTACTAGAAAGAAAGACATTTATGCAAATGTCTCCGAAGCCTGAACTTCAGCCATTCCGAACCCTCCCCCCTGTGTATTTAGAGGGTAAGGGGTAAGTAAAAGGAAAAGAGACTAGAGAAATTACCTTCTCTAATTCCAACAGATGAAACCTTAATACTTGTATGGCTTGAATCATCTGCAAAGATACAAAAACAATGAGCACCCCATTCCTGGCTTGCAGAAAACTGGCTGTCACAGCTCTACTATCTCCAGCCCACCCCTCCCACCAGTAAATAGAGTTATTTTGATTTATGGCAATAACACTAAAACTTAATAGCAGCAACTGGGTACCATCTAGAGGTTTATATTTCTTAAGGAGAAAAAAATAGCTAAAACAACAACAGAGCATCTAAGTGGGGATCATAAACACTCTCGTTCCCCATAGCTCTCCCCTTTCTCAGTCCCACTGGCCCCACTCTACCCAAAAAGGGCCACAATACTGGAGTAGATATTTCTTTGGAAGGAGTGGACAGAAAAATATTCCAAATGGCCCTCAAATTGTGGCTTTTCCCATTGTAAAGTTTCTGCTGCCTTCCTTACACCTTTCAGGCAAACTGGTTACTTGGGGGCTCCTGTCCGATGGCTGCCCTCGTGATGGGACTTCAAGGGCTGGGAAGTCCGCAAAGTTTTAGCACACACGCTGACAGGCCGGGAGATAAATCCCCGCGCTGATTAGATCTGCGCAGCCCGGCTGTCATAAAAAACAAAAGCTCGCGTTTCCCCGCGCCGGCTCGCCCGGCCCCTCTCGAGATGAATTTATTTCCCCGGGATCTTGTCCCGGACCATTTGTCCGTGGATAGAAACATTTGCAGCCAACCTGCAGGCACGGGAAGACTGGTCTAGAAATCTCAGGGCTCTCAAAGCAAAGCTGAGGGCGCTGGAGGTGGAAGGTGGGGGGCCAAGGGGGGAGGGGAATAGGGGTCCGCTCTTACCAAGTTATCCAGTTCTGGATTAGAAGAAAATAGAGGTTTTTCTGCGCGAATCTAAATACAAGTGAGAAGGAGAGGGAGAGGGAGGGGAGGGAAAAGAAAAAAAGAAAGAAAATTTTGAAATCTGGTCGCCTTCCTAGTTTCTTGCCTCATTACCCAGTTGGGGGCAGGATGTAACCCTCCGGGAGGGACCCGGTGACACCGAGTTCGTCCTTGCGCAGAAACACTTCAGTGTGAATTAAATAAGCTGAAAACAAGCCCAGAGCTCAGTCTTACTTCTACTAGCAACTACGGTTTCTCAGGGAAGGCTGCCCAGCCCGCCAAGTCCACAGGAGTCACTACCGTGGTGTTCTCGATTTTATTTTGCAGAGTGAGCTCTCCGCGTTTGCTTTCTGGAGGGTGAGTGGGGATGCAGATGGGTGTTTTAAGTTATCTGCAAAGAGACTCTCAGGCAGAAAGAAAATCTGAGATTGGAGGTAACACTCTTGGCTTAGGGCGGACTACGTGCTGGCTACTTTTGAAAGCGTGCGGTGTGTGTGTGTGTGTGTGTGTGTGTGTGTGTGTGTTTCTTGGGGACGGGGCAGGGGGATCTCTTTTTGTTTTACTTTTTAACATTTATTTTGCTGACCTGTTTGGCGAACACGGCTATATCTTCATTGAATGACTCTGACGAGCAGACGTCCCCGCCCGCCACCCCTGGCTCGCGGGGGGTACAAGTAGCTAATTCACATTTCTCAAAAATCAGTGCTAAGAGAGGGAAGAGGGGGTGTCTGCAAGAAAATACAACAGTCACAAACAACATAATGGTTAGTCCCCAGTCAGTGGAAAAAGGTACCCAAGAAAAACAGCCGGAGGATCAAGAAGAACAGGCCCCCTCTCCGATTGTGTCACCTACTTTTCTCCTTTTTCTCACCCCCCCGCCCCCCCGTGCCCAGGTGACTGCTCACCTCCCCTTCCTCCTGGAGCCCTGATGTCGGAGGCCCTGAGCCATGGACGGTATCTGAGGATCGGTTTAACATATATGGCCGGAGAAATTGGCAACATTTGCTACGAATAAAACCCCAGCGTTTCCAGCAGCCATTTTGAATTAAGTTTCCCACCCCACAAGCCCTCGTCCCCTCCACTGCACATCCAGGATCCGGTGGAGAAGAAAGGCGCCAGGCGGAGGGATAGGGAGGGCTGGTTCCAGCGGGTTCCTCCTAGGCGGCCGTGCGAAGCCCAGGCTCGGGGGATTCGGTGGCAGGCGCTCAGCTAACTTGGGGAAGGGACGTCCATAGCCGTGGGACCAACTGTCACCGGGCTGCACCTACGGATTTCAACCCCAAGGCCCTCGGAGAGCCCGGAGGCTCCTCCTCAGCTCCTTGCACACTCCCCTCCCTTCGCGAAGGCCCCCACTGCCCCCCAAAGAAAGTTCCTTCAAATCTTGCTGCGGTAAAGCCTTTCGTTTTGTCTCTGCAAAGTGGCAAAGCAGCTAGTATTGCGAGGGGCCTACATGTCGCTTGTCTCGGCCCATAAAAAAGAAAAAAAGAAAGAAAGGAAAGCTTCTTCTAATGCCCAAGGAGGTGTCTCAAGTCTTTTATTAGCTCTCACAGCCCAGCTGGGAATTTAACAGTTTGGGGTCCTTTTCAAAGCTTCCCCAAATGTTCTGTCCCGGAGCCTAAACCACTTGCAGTTAACGCTGCAGACAGAACGGTGGGATTTAAACAAGCCCATCGCACAAGGAACCAGAAAATAAAGCAAAAAGAAAACCTATTTTTTTCCAGCCGGGGAGGGTCAGTGTGTCCTGATTAAAAAATAAATAAATAAATAAATAGAAATTAAAGTTTCTGCAAAGTAAAAAGAGGTCCCCGAACGTATTGGCACACAGTAGGCACAAGTGAGTTTCAAAGGATTCTACTCGCACAGGGTCTAATTGCATGGCGGAGGAGATCAAGCAGTGTAAACCGCAGCCAGAAAACCTCCGAGGAAGAACGCCTGGAATTTTCTTATTTCCAAATCCTGCAGGTTTCACCTTTGAGCACAAAATGCTAAAACATCTAGAAGTTTCTGAATGTGTGTAACAGTTCAGAGCAAGCGCTCTGACTTCAGTGGTCAAACTCCCTAAATGCAAAACATGTTCCCCCTTGCTTGACCTGCAACTGTCCTGCATTGGTTTTATTGTGCAGTGGCAAAGCCAGCATAAGGCTGCTGAGTAAACTTAGCAAGTCAGAACAATCAGTGGCTTAAAAGAGATTTTCCCTTAAACTAAAAGTTTCGTTCCAACACAAAAGCGCCTACATTTAGAAACCCCTAATGCTCTTGGGCGAAAAAATCAAGCCAGGGAGGACTCTAGCCGCTGAGGGAGTATAAGAGGGGGACAAGGGACCTTTAGCCAACTTCTCCTGATCTGGGACCCCCTTGCGGGCAGTGCCGTGGTGGAGCAGAGCACTGGGTGTGCACAGAGTGTGTATGGAGATGGAGGGCTTCGGGGATGGCAGGCCACCTCCCCAAATTCTCCATACAATGTGAAGAAAAAGTCACCAAAGATGTACCTCCAATCCAGAGAACTCTGACTTTCCTCTTACCAAGGGCACAGGGAAAGAGGGAAGCATTGAGTCTCAACTACTTAACCTGCTGCCCATTGTACCTACCCATAAATGGCATCTTTATCTCTCTTTAAAGCGTCATTGACAGAGGAGCCCATGCTGGGGGCCATGGCGTTGGTGTGAGCTGTGTGCGGGTACTGATGCGAGTGCAGAGGAGGCCCGTGGTTCAGGTGGTGGACCGGCTGCATGGACCTGGCTGCATGCGGGTCCCCATACATCGTGGAGGGGATGCCTACTCCATCCATGCCCCCGTAATGGGGTAGATCGTCGTACTGCATGACAAACAGGAGAGAAAGAAGGTTCAGAAGGCCAGGCGGGCAAATGGGAGAACCGCAAGGCACCGAGCTTATATAAAGTCAGTCCAGTTGGATCCTTCCACCCGGAATTCGGTGGCCTCGCATCTCTAAAGCTGAGTTTTCTTATTTTACAAAAGAGATTTTTTTAAGTAAAAATGACAGAATTCTCAGTGAGACTCGCCTGGGATGAATGATCTTGCTCTTACTTGTGTCCCTATCAACTAATTCAGAAATTCAGGCTCCTTTCGTAAGGAAGGAAGCAAGAAGGAGAGAAAGAGAAGCATTTTCCCGAGGGGGGAAGGTGAAACGGGCATGTCTCTGGAGGAAGAAATTCAAAATCACAATAAAAGATGCCAGGACAGTGCAGCAAATCTGCCTACTTTCACAGCCCCTTCACATCAGGGGGAATAATAAAAAAAAAAGTTACGATGGGAACAGCTACGCCAAGCACGTGAATTTAGACAGGCTTCTCATTTTATTTCCCTGCCAGCATGAGGTTAGGCAGTCCTGCAAGACACTGCATTTATTTTGCTTTCCAAGACAAACTTTGCTAAATTATATTAAACTGACCCCTTATAAATGAAACTCAAAGAAGGGTAGCTTTTCCTGAATATCAGAGCTGAATTTAGAATTGAGCAATCCCCCACCCAAAGTTAAAGAAAATCTGCAATTGAAGCAGCTAATATTCTATTTTCTTATTTACTCTTATGAACTTTCTTTCCAGACTAGAAGATAAGGAGGCAAATGTTACTCACCAGGTTTAAAGCAAATTCAAAAGCAAATGCACAGAAAACCTCCCATCTTCCTCTTGCAGAAAAAAAAAAAAAAAAAAACACCCAAAACTACTTTCATATTGATTGTCATTATTTTGTGTGTGTGAAATTTAGCTATTTAGGTTTTTCTAATTGGTTCATTCCAAGCAAGTTATTTTCTCAAGATTTGGAGGTGCTGAGAGTGAAATGATTTTCAAAGAAAGGAGGAATTGCCACTTTCATCTCCTTAAAGCCAGAGGTGTGAAGAGTTTGGAAGAACGCTGACATTTGCCTGAACCAAAGGAGTAAAGAAAAATATGTCAGCCTAGTAACTTTCTTTGGCAAACAGGGCTTTGAGGGCCAGGACACAAATTATGCAGGAAGGCTTTTTGTAGACCCCCTTTCTTTTAAGAAACTACCTCAGTTGGGTTGTCATTGTCTCACTTTACTCTCACTGCATTTCCATTGAAAAAGAAATGTGGGGAAATTAGTATTGCATTTTTAAAGTGAGTAACTGTGTGCTTAGTATCCAATTAGTACATGGCTTATCTAAGAAAAACTTGCAAAATATTGCCTTGAATACAAATCTACACAAATTGAAATTATTATAAAAAGATGAATGTTTTCTGATCCAAAAATTGGCTATACTATGACAAAGTTATTTGCTTTAAAAAGCTAAATACTTCTAGTGATATTAAAGATGAGCATAATCAATAACATATCTATCAGAAGTTTCCAGCTGCATATTTTAGTTTAAACATAACTTTCAAACTTCTGATCTATGAATATTCAAATTATAGCATTAGGTATCTAGCTTTTTTTAAAGCAGATGATTGAGCTTGCATTTTTATTTATATAGCTGCTGGTTAGGAATCTACAGATAAATTGATTCCTTTAATTAACAACTCCAAGTAACATACACAAGTCTACAAATACATTGAATAAATCCTCTCGCTTTAGGCCACGGCTTTAGGAGCCTCAGTTTTAAAAAGAGAGAGAAAAAAGGAAACTTTTTAGTAGTGTCTTTCGGCCACGTTTCAATTTAATCTCACATTTGAGTTCCACAATTGTTTTTTAATACGTACCCTTTGCGCCATCGGCCTCTCTGGCTCCCTTCCTACTTCAACTTCTAATATATCCTCTTTAAGGCCAGTGTGAAAAGAAACAAATATGCAAACTCCCCCGGAAAAAAAAAAAAAAGACGACGAAAAATCCCTTAACGTCTCCTGCAACGTGAGCTACTGGTCCCAGATCTTCGGTCTACGGGACCTGAAGCAAAGCGCCCGAGTCACTGAACATAAAAGCGCTCCGTTTCCAAGACAGCAGCGGGGGCAAAAAAAAAAAAAGCAGATCTTCTCTCCCCCAAAAATCAGTTTAAAAAAAAAAAAAAAAAAAAAAAAGAGAGCGCCCCTCAGAACCAACTACCAAATCTCATGGCTTTCTGCCACTCCAGCTGTCAATCACAGGCGAGGTTGTCAACGTGGTGAATGAATGATCATCCGCTCTGTCTTCTTCTGGTCAGAACACCTCAAATGTTAATATTCAAATGCACAAAGCCCTAGCGCTCGCTTCTCTTGAATCAGTTCTAATTTCTAATCAGTTTCTCTCTTCTCTCTCTCTTTCTTTCTCTCCCTCTCTCTCCCTCTCTCTCCCTCTTTGCAAGTGCTGCACTGGAGGGAGATTAGAGAAGGAGGGTTAAAAAAAATGTCTGTCTGAGTTTGTCTTAAAGGAGCCACGATCGATGCTGCCCGCTTGCAGTCCCCGTGCGTGTGTAAAGTGTGTGTTGCACAGGCGGAGAGGTGGATTCCGACCAGAATGCTAGAACCCGGAAGTAGTGGTGGCCATAACAGGTCGCGTCTTACACAATGCATTGGGCTGCAGCAAGTAGGCTCCTCGGCAGGGGTGGGTGCGCGAAGCGAGCTCCGGCCCCACTCGAAAGGCAGAGAGGCGCTCGATTAAATCGCAAGCCCGGACACAAACACCATACACCCAGGGCACACGCACACAAACGCAGGCAGTAGCCCACGGCCGCCGGCTTTATTTTCAGTATTCTTTTCTCTCCCTCCCCCTGCAGACTTTCTCCCCAAAGCCCGCTTTCTTGAAATAAATTGGGAATCAACGCCCGGCAGGCAGAAGCGGGAGTTATTTTGCACAGGGCTCCGCGCCTAGACCTCATGACTTTCCTAGAAATTATTGGGGTCTGCCAGTGTTTTTCGGGGTAGGGGGTGATGCGCAAAGTACTGAATTCTCAGAACTAAACACGGCCAGGAGAAAAGTCAAACCGAGAGCGTGGAGGAGGAGGAGACGGAGGAGGAGGAGAAGCCGGGCTGGGAAAGCCTCTGCTCAGGAGTCCTGAGAACGTGGGGTGGAGGTGGCTCCGTCTTTCTGCAGACCCAGCTTAGAGGTTTCTTTGCTGTTCGAGGAGGACGCTGGGCCGGGGGAAAAGGAAATACTCTCATTTTGTCACTTCGGGTCTAGACTCCCCCACCTTCTAACCCCGGCTGCTCCCAACCCCAACCCAGGCGTCCTGCGCGAAGTAGAGAGGAAGGAGGGAACAATGAGCTGAGCGCCGGGATTGTGCCCCCCGTGCCTATTTACAAACACCAAGCTATTTATGATATCCGGAAAGCGAAACCCGGCGCGGGCTCTCAGCACCCCAGTCCTCGCGGGCGGAGCCCCGGCCGGGGAGCAGCGGGGAGGGAGGCGCTTTCTCCGACCCGCTGGAGAAGAGGCGGCGGTGCGCCCAGGGCGCGGCGCGACGCTGCTGGAGTGCTAGTCTCGGGCTGCAGCCACTGCTGCCTTTGTCTTAGAAGCGCCGAGAGGCTCCAGCCTCTGTCTCTCTCGGGCCTGGAGAAGCCCCGCGCCCCCCTCTCCAAGCTATTTCTCCAGCGACGCCCTGCTCTCACCACCCTAGACATCCTTTCCCGCACTCGGCCTCCCCGTCCCTAACCTGACTCGGCGAAACCTCCCAGTGCCAGAGAAAGAGAAATCCTCCTCGGAAGCTGACATTTCAGACAAAAGCTGCCGGTATCTATAACTCGAAGGCTCCAATCAGCCACTGTATATTTATTTATTTATTTTTTTTAACTTTAACACCTATTCACTGGGCTTTAATTTTTCCCCTTTATTCTCCCACTCTAAGCTTGTCCCTTGTGATTATATCTAGTGGCGTTATTTTCGTATTTATATTTCGGTCCACTGGACTCAGATCTGCCGAGATGGCTCAGCCGCAGCAGCTCCTAACAGCGGCTGGAAACCTCACATCCCCAAGCAGGGCTCGTAGCTTGCTAGTCTCGGAGAGGATTTTTCCCCCTCCCTCCCGCTTGAAGCCTCGCAGAAAACTCCCCCTGCGGTCGACTGGAAAATGAGCTCACCCAAATCTCGGTAGGCAGCCGCGGAGGAGCGCTCGGCCAATCAGGAGGCGCCCCCGCCCAGGCAGCCGCGCATTGGCTGCGGGGAAAATCAATTATCAAATAATCGATCAGCAGGGAGCTTCGATCTGCGGGGAGTGCAAACTGCCAGTCCCTATTCCCGCCCTGAAGGTGGCCAAAAGGCTGACTCCCTCGAAGCAGCCCGCCCGTGCCCCCACGGCCCCCACCCCCGTCCCACTCGCCAGTTGCGGACTGAACCCTCACCCTCGAGTGAGTGTAGGCAGGGGAGAAGAGTTTTGAGAAAGACTGGGGGGATCCTTTCATCAGGAGATTGTTTGGGAAAGGTTAGAAGCTCCAAAATGTATTGAAGCCAACTCTTAAGCGCAAAGTAAAAAAGAATTTGCGTACGTCCGCGAGGTAGGACTGGAGTTTCTATAGAGTGGGCTTCCGAGTAGCAGAGGACACAGGGCGAGCATCATCAGAACAGAGGTCTGGAATGAGGTTCCACCGAGCGTCTGTAGTCTCCCTAGGCGACAACTATCGCTTCCTTTAGCACTCTGCAAGAGTCAACGCGGGTTGATAGCCCCCAACCGTGGAGTGTTTCCACAAAGCCAGCAGATGAGCCTTCCCAGCCTCCTACATTGCACCCTTCCCCGCCCCCAACTCCGTACTGGCACCCGGTGTGCCTGAAGGACTGATACCCGTTCTCCCAAAACCTTCAGAAGCGCTTTGCCTCGAAGGAGCTCCGTGTTTATTTATTTTTTTAAACCATCTCCAGGATCCCTTATCATTTCCTTCCTCTCTCTTTTTTCTTTCTCTCTGTTTCTCCCTCTCTTTTTTCTGACACTCAGGTTTCAGGATCTTTTAGTTTTTTCCATCACGTACACGTGTAGTGTTTTCTTGCACAAACGCCCTGAAACATCACTTGGGAGGTTAAGGCAGGCCCGCGAGTAAAAGCTGGGGACGGAGAGGGGTGGGCAGCCAGGTGCATTACCAGCGCCTTTATGCCCATGCCTGCACTCCCCCCTCCGGCCCCACAACCGGATCTTGGAAGCAGAATATCAGGCCAAGACGGAACCTCCCCGTCTCTGGAAGGCGATTTCTGTTAATTTTTTGGAGACTGCTCTGGTTGGGCCAAGGCAACAAACACACTCCTTTTCCGATTAGGGAGTGGACTAAGCTGGGCCGGCAGCCTGCGACCTTTTCCCCGAACCGCAGCCGACTTCGGCGGTTACCTGAGCGCCTTCCGACGGCTGCCCGCGGGGGTGTGATCATCGTCCCAGCAGCAGGCCCGCCAGGCAACTGCGCGACTCGGGGGTAGGAGGGAGACGCGGGGGTAGGGTGGGAGTCAAACCCAACACCGACGGGGCACACCTATGTTTACGATCCTTAAATGAACTGCTAGGGAAATTGTGTAAGTATAATTTAACTGAGAGAAATTTACTGCGAAATACACTTACATGACTGTGGTCTTTAACAGCCTTAGGGGTTCTTTGGCAAAGAGGTAACGGGGCTTAGAGTTAACACAATCCTGCGGCCACATTTTCAAATTTGGAAATGGTATATATACTTGACCACAGAATTTATTTTGTATTGTTGCTTTCCGGTTATCTTTTTCTTTTGTTTTCTAGCACAGATGAAAAAAGAAGGTTCAGGTAAGTCACTCTTTGCAAACATAACCAAAATCTTCAAAGTAGGAGGAAGACTAGACTATTGATTGCATGCTTTAACCACGATGTGCCAGATTACCATAAAAATGTACTGTAAATTACCTACACACACATTTTTCCTTAAAGAATGAGATAGTTTGAGTTTGCAGACTTAAAATCAACTCAGTAGTTTTTGAAAAGCATCCCCCTGCCCCCTCCACACACTCTTTGCATTTTTAACTGTGAACCTAATGTAACTTCTAGGCCTTTATACGATTAATTCTGAACAATCAAGGGACTAAAACACTTTTACAATGTAATTACAGCAGTACAAATTGTTTGCCCAAACCTCATTCTGGATAAGGATTTTACAATTAGCAAACAATTATTACAGTTGGGGCTTGCTGAGAGAAATTGCACAGAGGACGTCTAGAGTTGCAATATAGTAGCCATAAAAAAAAAAAAAAAAACTCCTTTAGCAGGGCAGCAATTAATCATTTATTAAAAGGAAAAAAATGAAGGGACAGTTCTAGGTATCTTGGTAAACTACTGTTGATGTTTATGCCTATTTTGTGACAGCACTTATTCCTCTGGAAAGACCTATCTGTATCCTAAATTAGGCTTTATTTCAGATACTTGCTTTTTTTTTAAGGCAATAGCACTTTTGTTTTGCAAAAACTTGGCCTGGTGAAAAATTCTGGCAGTTGGCCATAGCTCAGGCCTCCCATTCTCTTCTCATCCTTCTTATCCCAAGCATCTTTCCAGAGATAGAGAACGGTGACAAAAGGAGGCAGACTGGGCCCTTGGTCTCTATTGTTTACACTTCTGTATGGAGGCATTTCAAGCCCTCAGTGCTCCTCTGAGCTGCTGGAAAAGTGGTCTTAGAGATCTCCCCTGTCTTTCTGTTCTCCTGTAAGGAATTGTGCCTCTGGAAAGACCTATCTGTATCCTAAATTAGGCTTTTGTCCCAAAAGGTCACACGATGAGTCAGCTCCGAAACCGTCAGAACTTAAAGAGGCACCTCTTAAGGTAAAACGTGTGTGTATTTGCCAGCCTAGAATAAACAAAAGCCTGTTAATCAATCGAGTTTGGCAGCTGTGTTCACAAAATGATAAGGGTTTATCATTTGCCACCAAACTTTAAGATGTCCCTTAAAATGTTGTGGTTGGTTTTTGGGTTGTCCTGTGCGGTGTGGAGGCTTGGTGTTTGTATTTCAAAAACATTCATCCTCCACATCTCTCCCCCTAATTAGCATTCGTATTTCAAAAAAAAAAAAAAAACAAAAAACAAAAAACAAAAAACAGAAATAGGAGGGAGGGAAAGACAGTTTAAAGAAAATAGATTTGAAATCTAGTAGAGATAATAGAGGAATGCTGGAGATAAGAGCCTGGAGGTAATATGGGAAAAATATCATGAAGTCAAAGCTAATGAATGGCTGTGAGAAAAGTGAAATAAACGATTGAGAGATCTATTAAAGGGGGAAACCTGGTTAGGTGATATGAAAGGGAGTTAACCAAGGGGATTAGGGAGGACTGCTCCAAAACAGTACAGGCTATAAGGACTGAAAGATTTGTTTACTGCATTTTGCTTCAGAAAACAAAGAAAGTCTGGGTCCAGTTCAGAAGTCAGTGAGAGGTCAGCTTAGGCTCTCCAATGGTTGCAGAGAAAATGTCTAAGTCACTATGTTCTGACTGGATAATGCAAAAGTTAAGGAAAAAAAGTGGGGGTAGGAGGGAGGTGCTTTCCTTACTGTTTCTATTTCAAATAATTAAAATGCTTTGGTCTCTAGAGGGGGAAAAGACTACACTGGTTAACATAATTACT